TTAATAATATATACTTTAGTGACAATTTTTTTGTTGCCACTCGGCCGCGGCAATATGTGTGTGACTAAATTATTTAGCTATGACATTTAATTGTTACCACTAAAAATAATTTTTTTGCCGCAATATGAAAAATGTCACTAAATGTGAAATTTTTAGCTACAATAATTATTGTAACAAGTTAACGTAATTTTGCCACTAAAATGTATTAAGTTACCACTAAAAGTCCGATTAAAACCTGACTTTTAGTGATAACAATTACTTGCGGCTAAAAGTATATATTTTATCCACACTTAATATCACCGCTAAATTTTGAGACATGCTTTTAGTAACAACTTATTGTTGCGGCTAATTAATGCATTAAAATGACTAAAAAAAAAATATCACATATTTGAAAGAATTTATTTTTGAATATTACCCAATTTCACATATCTATTATAGTTTAATGAATCAATATATATACTTAATGAGGAAGCCAACAACATAAAACACTCACTTTCAATGATACAATTCCCAAATTAAATCACGTGAAAATAATATTTTGGTATTGGTATAGTTAAATTGTACATGTACAACGCATCATCATTAAAGAATAAAAATAAACAAAAAAGGTCATGATCATGATTTCAAATTGTATCCTAACAACTAGACAATGATTCCCATTCAAAATAAAGTAATTCTATAATAATCAAGTCTCAACTACATATTCATTTTTTTAGCAGGTTATTAGATCTTTCATCTTTAGTCTTCAGAGACGAACCTTCCAAAGCTATTTTCAGAGCTTCCACTGGTTTATACTTAACAAAAATTACCCAAAATTAATAAGAATCACAAAGAATATAACATATGAACAATCAACCACAGATCACATAATGACTTGGACAACTCGGTCGAGTCATCTGAGATTCAGGGTTTATACATACAAAAATTTATAGCATTGCAAGCACAAAAATTCATTTTGTTTAGAAAAATTATTCATTAACAAGGCAATATAGATCGGAAATGGCAATTCCTAAGCCTTGTAGGATGTCTTCCCTAGAAAACTTGTGAAACAAAAAATCAAGCTTTTGTCATTCCAAAGAATTTATACTTCTCACATTGAATTCCAAATCAAATAATGGGGCCTTTATATGATGCAAAGTGAATTTCATATCCTAGAATACATCCATATACACAGTTGAAAAAGAAATAATTTAAATTCTTGCAAGAAAAAAAAAAGGAAATAAATGCATTTTTCATAGCATATAAGTAGACATTATCATATGAAGAAGTAAACCACATCCAATGCAGTTTCACATGAACAACGATAATTTGAACAGTAAGTTAGAAATCATGGTTAAAAAAAATTTAAAAGTTAAAAAAGGGCATTAATTTGGTAATTGATTCCATATTAATATTCATAATATGAAGGTAATATACACACCTGCAAGCATGGTAGGATGGCAGGTCTTTGCAGCTGAAGGAAATCTACTCACCCCAGTTAGGCTAGTAAAAATTGCAAGGCATGTATGGCTAAAGCAACCTGATCCCGAGATCTATGATGTTGCCTTTTATCATTTTTCTCATCCAATCCATTCTCAAGTGCTAAAGAACCCATTAGCTCTTCATCAAAACCATCCAATTCACTTTGACCATGACCCCTACCCCTCCTCATCTTCTCCTGCATCCCATAGCCAGACTCTTCCTCGTCTTCATTGACCACAGGTGCAATTCGAGAAGAGACTCTTCCACAACAGAAACCAAATGAAGATTACTTCCTGCTGACTGGCCAGAGCAATCAAGCTGAACACTTTGCCTCCTTTCAGCTGATACATCACCATTCGCTTTACTATGTTGGGCGAAAATCTTTCGTCCCTCTCATTCTCATCAAGTGATACTACCTCTATGGTTCAACATACAAATTCAGCTTCTATTTCTGCATTACTCCCTTAAGAAACTCTATAGAGTAGAAGAAATTATAGGAACTAGAACTTCAGAAGTAGAAAATGAACCAAAAGATTTGTCATCGAAAACAACTTCAGGAAAGTGAGAAACTTCATTGCAATGGGGGACATGTATAAACTCGAGATAAATAACAAGCAATTCCTAACAGAATGAAGACAAAGTGTAACCCAGAGTTGAACGACAAAACTGTAAACCAATAGTTAGTGGCCATGCTTGTGTTTTGTATGTTACAAATCGAGGTCTCAAAAATGCAATCCAGTCTTTTAGTTTAGAATGGCAAGTTAGTATTGATCATTTTCTTTATAAGATCAAATAAAATATTGAATTGAACAAACAAACAATATCTAAAGGATAAAAAACAATTATTGAATGTTTCATCAACCTCATATTTGCTTAGTAACTTATCAATTTCAATTCCAAGTGTGAACTATTCTATGATTTTATCACTATTTTCTAGTTACCAAGTCATCTTTATAGTCTTTAAATGTGATGAATTTAAATAATCAATAACAAAACTCAAGCACATTCGAACATTGTTCAATCAAGATAAATAATGACAATCACTAATCATTGAGTCGATCCACATATTCACATATTCACCAAGGTGATTGAAACAAGATCAATAACGAGAGAGAGAGAGAGAGAGAGAGAGAGAGAGAGAGTCAGGGAGAACTTGCTGCAATCCGTTTACAAGTGACTGAATGAGAGGTAGGACAAATATGTTTTGTATTTCTTTTTAACCAATGACACTTATTCACTAAAATTGATAAATAGTGGCCAAAAAAAAAAATTTTGACCGGAAATAAGGCATATTAATGACTAAATGTAAATTATTGTCCCTAAATATTTTGAATTAGTGGCGAGTTAGTAATATATTTTTGCTACAACATTCAAATTGTCACTAATTAGATTTATTATCATATATTTAAGTGACAATAATACTTTTTTATCATTAATTATATATCTTTAGTAGCGATAAATATTTATGGTCACTAAATAATTTAATTAGTGATGATAATAGTTTTTTGTCACTAAACATATATATTTAGTGATAATATTTCTAGCTGCAATCTAAATTTAGTGGCTAAGTGTATCTTTTTGTAGTGAAAGTTGAGATAAGGAAGAGACTGGGGAAAAAATTGCCTGGAAAAAAACTAGATTAATTGGCAATGGTAAGATGCCTAGCTATAAAAGGAGCATTAACTACAAGGAAAGTGTACGACCAAATCCATCAAAGACCCACGACTTGGGCATTATAGGTGTAATTTTATTTTTGATTTAGAAATATTATTAGTTTTAGTGACTATTTTAATCAATCTATTGTAACCCAAAAACCTTCAAGTTTAATAAAAGTGTTCTTCTCTTTTGTTAATCCTTTTATTATCACTTTGCATGCTGTAATTCCATCAATTGTGATCATTCAAGGAAGTCATGAAATAAGGCAGTTGGAACTTGGATGACCTGCTGGTTTCATTCAAGCTGAATGCTCTTTTCACTAAAATTTGATGTTGGGAACAAAATGGATCTCAACTCAAGCTGACTACAGTTGTTTAGGAATGGTAATAATTTTTCAATCACCTAGGTGAATATGTGGATTTAATCCTACCTCCAAACCTCTACCCGCTCAAGCATACACGGGAAAAAAGAGAGAGAGAGAGATTAATCCCTATTTTGTAGGGATCCAATATTTTATGCATAAGGTTTCCTTCATGAAGCCGATGTTTTTTTGTGTCAACTAATTCCCGTGGTGTGTGTGACATAATTAACTTAAGACATTCATTGTCAACTAATTCCCGTGTCATTCGAAATTTTGGTGTATGACATAATTGAAGTAATATGTCCATTGAATGTAGGGTCATAAGTGTCATTATCTAGTTTGATTCCATTAATCAAGGGCGCTAGGAGGAGTAAGAACAACTTTTTTTCGAATAAAGAAAAATATTAATTTCAAAAACTAGTGAATAAATAAAAAAAGACTGATATCCCTCGTTGCTGTCTTATGAGGAGACTGTATCATACTCTACTGCACTTTAACTATGTCGAACGTTTGACACGGACTTGACCCCCATATATGAATTTAACTCCGTCGTACTATAAAAATTAGTAGAGTGATTATTGTTTTATTGTTATCTTGGCATATGGTTTTGTGGTATTGGAAGTTGGGAGGAAGAGAGGATTGCTCTGTTGCAACTCAAGGCTTCCATCCCACTACCCAAATGGAACCTCTTTGTCATCTTCAGAGGACACAGTGCGGGGAATAGAGAGTGACTATTATTCATTGGCCTGGTGAATTTTTTCAACAGGATTCATTTATCCAAAAGTTGTTATGCATTTTAGATTCAAAATTAGGAACTTCATTTGGCATCCAAAGTATTACCGCAATCAGTGGGACACTTTTCCTACCGTGGAATCTGTGGAGTAGATTTCTCTTCACTTTCTTATTTGTTTCTTTGTATGCGTAATGTGTGGGGTACATGTGATGGATGAAGTTGTAAAAATACATGTTGTTAAAGTTTCACACCGACCTACCCCAAAAAACAATTTGACATCTTAATTTTCTTCTTAGATTATTATTCAACAACTAATAGAATCCATTTGAACCAAAAATATATTTTATTATTCTTTTCAATTTTAGATCCTTAATATTGATGAATTAGCCATTTTAATTAAAACTACGAATGTCTCATTTTTGTTCTTGGAAAGTGTTTAACATTGAGTCAACTTAACAGTGAAATAAACCTCATTGCCTTTTTCACTGTGCAAACATTATAATGTGGTAATTTCTTTTTCTTTTTTCTCATTTTTCACTATGCATGGCCTTGGTTCAATCGACCCCACAAACAAGAATTTAGCTATGCCGTGTTAGGGGGGGGGGGGGGGGGGGGTTGTGGACTCAGTTGTGCATGATTGGTCCTGAGTCATGCTTTTGACAGCTATTTAATCTATCCAAAGGCATCAGCACTCTATTTAATCTGATAGCACTTTGCCAAGAAACACAAACAAAAACATATCAGCAAATAAATATGAAGGAATCAAAGGTTTTGGAGTGGTGGGCGGTAATGTTAGCTTTGATATGGTTTTGTGGTGTTGCGTGTTTTGGTTGTTGGGAGGAAGAGAGGGTTGCTCTCTTGCAACTCAAAGCTTCCATCAACTACCCAAATGGACCTTCTTTGCCATCTTGGGAGGATAGAGTGGAAGGTTATAACAGTATAGAGAGTGACTGTTGTTATTGGGAAGGAGTTAAATGCAACGAGACCACAGCTCACGTGGTTAAGCTTTCTCTTAACAAGACAAGGAATAGGAGATTAGGAGATTGGTATTTCAATGCCTCTTTGTTTCTTCCCTTTAAAGAGCTCCAAGATCTGGACTTATCTGATAACCAGCTTGTTGGTTGGGTCGCAAATGAAGGTCTAGATTTTTCTTGTTTAGCAAACTAACAAGCAATTGATGTTATTAACATATTATTTATGTTTTTTCCTTTAACAAAATCTAAACTTCTTAGCAGGTTTTGAAAGTTTATCTGGGTTGACCAAGCTGGAGGTCCTCTGGTTGGATGGGAATTACTACAATAACACCATCCTATCATCTCTCGGAGTGCTTCCATCTCTTAAGAATCTATATTTAAGAGGCAACTCTCTGAAAGGATCCGTTCACTTGCAGGGTATGACGGAGTTCCAACAACATTTTTTTTAAAGCTGAATTCTTATGAAATAGTGCAGTAGCCCAAGAGATCAGAATGCTTACCAGGGGCGGCCCAACCAAACTTAGGGGCTTACGCGAAAATGTTATCTGAGGCCTAGTAATATTTATTCAAATAATATTAGTATTAAACAATTATCAAAATATTAGAATATGTTTATTTAAAAATTATTTGTTTTGTAATTTTTTTTAAATACACCATGAATTTTACAAATAAAAATTGCGTTGACCGAACTCAAATTCGGAGATCAAATGCAATGATACATGCTATTTGTTTAAGGTAAAAAATGTATAATTGAAAATTAGTTTAGCTAATAAAATGATTTTTCTATGGATGAATATAAAAATATAAATTTAAACAAGTTCAGTGGAGGTAAAATAAATAAGACATTGCAAGATATTGTAGATAGTGCACTACTTCTACTCACTCTATTTTCTAGTAATTTTATGTATTATAAAAAAATTTATCAAAAAACAACCTAAAATTTTACTTATAGAGATATAAAATCATTATTTATACCTATTATATGATAGACAATTGATTTTATTAATAAAACTGCAAAATGATAGTACATAAAATATAAATTTTTATAAAAATTCCATACCATTGTATAAATTTTTATTTCGGAGTCCCAAATTTTTTTTTCAATTTGGGGACCCTAGGCAATGACCTTAGTGGCCTATAGGTTGGGCCGGCACCGATGCTTACTATTCAAAGTGAACAAAAATTAATGTTTGAGTACTAGATACACAAGTTTCGTGTCATTAAGCACTAATTATCACAAATCATGGAAGTATATGGTTGTCCTAGCATAAAATATATTATTTTATTTAACAATACCTTGCATCATTTTTTAATCATATTTGCGTGTTACATTTGCAAACTTGAACTTACAGGAAAAAAATTATATTGCTTTATATGTAGACATTCCTGCTATGAGCAACCTGGAGGAGCTGGACTTGAGTTTTAACTTTGGGATTGAGACTCTCACGACCACAAGAGGTATAGATGATACTTCAAATGACATTGTGTTCATTCTCTTGGTCTGTAGAATAGGAATGCAAATACAGAATACATAACATTATAATATTTTGCATTCAGGTATGAAGAGCTTAAGCAAGCTGCAAGTTCTTCGTTTGACAGGCGGGACTTTTAATGCAAGTGTTTTACATTCACTAGGAGCATTGCCATCTCTTAGGGCCTTAAGACTTTGTGTGGATGGACATGTCACCAAACAAGGTAAAGTAGGGTTGATGATAAATGGTAATTAACAATGAGCAATGTTATGTGAATTTAAAATTTTGATTTCATTTGTCGATCTGAAGATGTGGTTTCATTAAAATCATTAGATGAAGAATAAGTTCTAATGTTTAATGGGACTCATAATTAACCCAAATGTCATAATGAATCAGATTGACAAATGAGGTAGGACAAAAGAAGTTAAATCATATTTGTGACTAATGATGTGACTTTATTGAAATTATTATATCAATAACAAGTTCCAAAATATTATGGAGTTTACAGAAAATCCAAAAGTCCCAGTGAATTAGATCATCTAAACTATTTTTTTGTTCCAATTTATTTCAATATAGACTTGATGGGCCTGAACTACTTGGAGTACTTAAATTTGGATCATTCATATATCCGCGGGAGCTTTCTTGGGAACACAGGAGTGATGACTTCTCTAAAAGTTTTATCATTGTTTGAGAGTGGACTTCACGGCAATCTACCAACCCAAGGTATATATGAGTTGATTCGAAAAATCCTTAGATGTCCCTTCTTCCCTCCAAAATACTATTGCTTTGATGTTCTTTGAATCTTTTAATTAGAATCATCAATTTGTCCACAGGTTACAGACCAAAGTTTTTATATTTTACAGGATTTTGTGACCTGAAGAACCTTGAAGTGTTGGACCTTAGGGAGAATTATCTGGAGGGGATACTTCCTTCATGTATAGGAAACTTGACATCGCTCCATATATTGGATCTTTCTTCCAATTACTTGGTTGGAAATATTTCCCCGGCTCTCCTTGCTAGTCTTACATCACTTGAATACCTTTCTCTTTCATATAACAACTTCATCACCCCTTTCTCATTTGCGTCATTTTTTAACCATTCAGAGCTTAAGGTCATTTTGATTGATAGTATCGTGCTAAAACTTGAAAATGAATCTCAATCATGGACACCAAGATTCCAACTAAAAGTTTTGCATTTGTCAAACTGTTCCATTGAAACACTACCATCTTTTCTATATTACCAAAATGATTTGAAAGTAATTAATCTCTCCCACAACAAGCTATTGGGGAAGTTCCCCACATGGTTGTTAGAGAATAATACGAGATTGGAAGTGCTCATCCTACAAGATAACTCTTTCAAGGGATCTTTTCAGTTGCCTTCTTATCCTAGTTCTCATGTTTCATATCTAGATTTATCGAACAACCTCATAGATGGTCAAATTCCTACAAATTTAAACTTGATCTTTCCAAGATTAGATAGCTTATTCATGTCCAATAATATGTTTGAAGGTCATATTCCTTCTTCTTTTGGTGATATTAGATCTTTAAGGGCCTTGGACTTATCTAATAATAACTTGTCGGGGGGAATACCCGAACAGCTGGCAATGGGTCAATCCTCCTTATTGTTCCTCGGACTATCGAAAAATTGCTTGCATGGTCAAATATTTGGCAATCTTTTCAACCTGACTAAGTTGGAGTGGTTATATTTGGACAACAATTGCTTTCTTGGAAACATACCAGACAGCTTATTAAATGCCTCTAACTTGATGGCGGTGGATATGAGCAATAACCATTTGTCTGGCTTCCTTCCCCAGTGGATCGGGAATGTATGGTCTTTGGGGCAAATAAGTTTGGCCAAAAATCACCTTGAAGGCCCCATTCCATTGGGGTTTTGCAAACTTGATTATCTTGAGTTGTTGGATTTATCTGAGAATAACTTGTCAGGCTCTGTGCCAGCTTGCTTCAACCCTTCAGACATAACTCATGTCCATCTGAATAAAAATAGATTGAGTGGTCCATTGACTCTTGCATTCTATGGCAACTCCCATTTGGTGACATTAGACCTTGGAGATAACAGATTGACAGGTGAAATCCCAAATTGGATAGGCAAACTTTCTGCATTGAGGATTCTTATCTTGAAACGTAACAATTTTGGAGGTAACATTCCCAGTCAATTATGCCGCTTGAAACAATTAAGCATGATTGATCTTTCTGGGAATAGACTTTTTGGTCCTATTCCTCATTGCCTGTCTAACATGACTTTTGAGCCTAGCTTTGAAAAATCTCTTGAAGTTTTGGGAAACATTAGGTTTCTTGATCCAAGGGCATTATCATTGTCAATCATGGGAATGACTATATCTTTTGAATTTCTATATCAATCTAGTTCCTATTATAATGAAATGTCAAATGACAAAGAAAATGTGGACTTCACAACAAAGAATGGTACTCGTTCATATCAGGGTTTTATCCTTGATTTGATTTCGGGAATTGATTTCTCTTGCAACCAATTAACTGGTACTATTCCTCCAAAAATTGGGAACTTAGCTGAGCTCTTCGTGTTAAATCTGTCCCATAACAATCTCCTTGGATCCATTCCGGCATCACTGTCCAACCTAAGGAAGATTGAGAGTTTAGATCTTTCCTATAACATCCTGACTGGGAGTATCCCCTCCGAATTGACTAAGTTGAACTTTTTGGCGGCCTTCAGTGTGGCATACAACAACTTAACAGGTAAAACTCCAGATTTGAAAGGTCAATTTGGTACCTTCAGCGAGAGTAGTTACGAGGGCAATCCTTATCTTTGTGGACCTCCATCACATAACAGTTGTACTGATGTCCAAAAAGCATTGACAATTCCAAAAGATTCAGAGGATGAGCAAAATAATAGTGGTTTCATTGATATGGATGTTTTTCATGTGAGCTTTTTAGTGTCTTATATCATATTGTTGTTAGGAAGTGTAGCAGTTCTTTATGTGAACCCTCGTTGGCGAAAGGCATGGCTCCATTTGGTTGAAGCTTGTATGACCTCTTGCTACTATTTTGTTGTTGACAGTTTTCGTAAGTTGTTCAACCGTCACATTGTGTGATCCATTAGCTGGATTTTTATGTGCACGCTTAAAGTAAAAGCACTATACTATTTTACAATTTTCAATAGACAATGGTTTCAGTTTATGTACTTCTATCATTAGGTTATGTTATGCATTTTACATATGTAGTCATGAGAGTAAAAGGAGGAGCTCCAAAAGAGTTCATTGTGTTCCCTCAACAAACTAATGGATAACTTAAATGAAAATTTACTTGCAAAAACAGCCATTGTATAGCTTGCCTACATTACTTCTTACTCCATGTAGTAATGTTCAAAAACACTTTACTTTCCTAAAGTTAAAAAATATACTCATATTTTTGTGTTTTTGGACCAACATATAATTGATTCTTGAATTGAAATAGGTAAAAGACATTTGATTTATATTTTTTTTAATATATAAATTAATAGAACCGGACCATGTCTACCCACATGAGCAAATGAATCCCAACCTAAGAGGTTGGTAGAAGTTAAAAGAATAAACTACCCCTAAGTGGAGGTGATCATGATACCTCATGATTAGATGATTATTAAGAGGTTACCTTGGTGGTTGTTCCATCTTGTGACATAAATATAGAATTCTTGGCAGAATTCTATATACAAGAAAGACACTAAAAGGCAAATACTCTTCTTCCCCACAAATTTTATCTCTCTTTGCACTTTCTTTGGGTTAACACCATACACTCTTGGATTTGTAAGTGTGGAAATTCTACTCTAGTAGCCACTTCTACAACCTAGTATATAATTTGAGTAAGGAAGTTTGGAGAAGTTTAGGTTTGAGATTGTTGGGCTCGTAACAACAAATAACGATTTAGTTTAATTTAAGTTCATCAACAGATATACCGAAATCCCATTATGTGCTATGTGCTATTATATGACAATACTTTCAAGCTAACTTTCAATATTTCTGAAGCTTCTTGATCCTTATTTGCCCAGCTTCTTGATCCTTTCTGAAGCTTCTGAAGCTTTTTGGTTCTTTTTATGTTTTATTTGTTTTCCAAGTACAAAGAGCAAACACATATTTTGAAATGTTTCCGGGATAAACTAATAACTTATTGGATACATCGAAGTCAAAATATAGTCACTTTTTGTTTCGGCACAAAATGCTATAGCAACTACCTATGTTTTGTCCATTCATAATTTCCCACTAATATGTTTTTCCTAGGTAAAAATCCAAAATTCATCACTAAAAGATCTTTGCTACAAAACTTTTCATTGCGACGTTTGTTGGAGGGAGCCCGTAGCTAAGCACCGACAAAATTTAATCCTAGGTAAAAGTTGAGTTTTTTCAAGGAAAATTTTTGCTGGAGGCAACTTTTGCCTAGGAAAATATATTCTAAGGTAAAAACGGTTGCCTTCAACATAATCTTTCCCTACGAAAATTTTTCCCTGTTAAAAGTTGTATCATTTAAAAAAACAAAAAAACTAAGTCAATTAATACCAATTCAACCACCCAAAAACAAACTAAATGAATTTATACCCAGAACTTCAAAAACAAACCAAGAATGCAAATAAAGATCATCAAAAATAGTGCGCAATACTCCATAACCGACTCTTGGAACAAATCTTACCTAAAAACATTCTTCATGCAAAATTTAAGCAAAATAATGCATGGAGTCTTATGCCATGGAGATTTCTCATTTTGATAGTTTGTATCAATTTCCACAGTAGTGTAGCCAAGCACTTGAAAGCCAAAAAGTTAGTTGTCAATGCTTTTACAGTTGTACTACTTCACTTTCCTCTTTAACTTTGTCATTTGCAAGAACAATTTTTCAAAAACCAATGTGAGATGAAATCTAACTCAATTATAAATGACTGACAAACTCACTACTAATTCCTAAGAAAATGGCAAATATATGTTCAAGTTTTTAGCTATAGGGAAAGTAAAGAAAATGGAGTATAAAGTTGGAAATGGCTTAAACACATTTCTCTGGTTGGACCCTTGGCACCCAAGGGGGATCATTTAGCAGGTCTGAGGTGAGAACATGCTGAAAAATTCTAGCATTGGGAGAGAAACAAAAGTCTGTAGCATAGTGGGTACTTATGGATGAGTGGGGCCTGAGCTCGTGAATGCAGATAGTGAGGAAGTTCTTGACACTATTCCATCAGCTTTTAGGCCTGATCTGAGTGCTACAGATAGCGTGAAATGGATCTCCTCAACCATTATTTGCACCAAATCTGCATGGCAATGCTTTAGATTCAAGCAACAACAGCAAAGATGGTCACATATTGTATGGTTTCCTGGTGCCATTCCTAGGTACAGCTTCATAATGTGTCTGGCAGGTAGAGAGAGACTCTATACTCAAGATATACTTTTGCTATATGGCATCATTTCTAGGGCTATTTGTGTCTTTTGTACTAGTGGGGTGGAGACACAGAACCATCTCTACTTTGAATATCCATTGTAGAGTTTGGAAGGTCCCCGTAATCTTTCAGATATTGAATAAAATCTTTAATATTGCATCTTCATTGATATCTTTCTTCAATTGCCATTTCCTACATCATTAGTCTGTCTTTCCTCAATGTCAAAAGAGAAGTGAATGATATTAGGCTGTAATGAGTGATGGATGAGTTATCAGTCACTTTGTAATCAGAAGTTCATTGCAGATTAATAAAAGTATCATTTCTTTTGGTAATCTCTTGATTATCATTCTTCTTGCTTTGAGTTTGTAGAGTTTTATCATCCAATGAAGTTTTGAAATAAGGCAGACCTGACAATCGTTGGAGAAAATGTTAGTTTTGCATCGCTAATAATTAACATAAATAATATTTGTTAGAAGATAAAAATTTAAATTTAGAAAAATAATAAAAATATAATACAAAGATATAACGTGATTTGATACATCATACACACCTTAATACACTGTATCCATATCCACGGACCAAAAATCGACAGCAATATATTATTCACTGAAAAACTAGTCATCTGCTAACTGATTGCATAATACCCAACCTTATTTATAGGAATAAAATACTGTAACCAAAACTTATTCAGATACAATTTGATCTTTATGTTTCCCTAATATATATACATGGTATATTAAAACTCTTCCAATTTGTTTCTTTTTTGATTTGGTCAATAATAACCTATCAATAGTTTATTAGGATTCTTCCGATACATTTCTTATTCCATTCAAGATTCTCACTTTAATTATCTAACAAACTCTCCTTCACTATAATTAAAAAGTTTGAGTCAAATTCCAATAATCTCCCTTAAACCCAACTCTTTAAATTTGGTCATGCCCAATATCGGACATAACACCATTGATTATGATCCACAAAGTATAGTATGCCCATTGCATACTATATTTCTCAATGCTGACTTCAGCTTCCTAGCTTTCTTTCCAACTGGTTAAAACTTGGAATTTAACTCAACCTCCATTATCACTCCAGTACACCACTTCTTAGGACCCTTAGCTACACCACCTCGCTTTTTCAAAACTAATCACCTGTGCCTAGACCAAATAAGTATCATCAATAAAAAAAAAAAACTGACACATATTTAAAATCATCATATAAATAGATCTGATTGTGTATGTGATGACAGCTAGAAAGATTGTACATGTGACAATGGCCGAGAAAATGTGTCTGTGATGATGGCTGCACGAGGTTGTGCCCCGTATTCGGTGGTCTTGATGTATACACATGCAACATCTCAGACAAAGTGTAGGGACGTCCCTTCCTCTTTGACATAATAAATCTATCAACAAGACATACACATATTAGTATGATTCTGTTTAAAATACATAACGAGCTAGTGTTTGTTTTGAGAAGACATGCACACTAGAATCAATGTACTCTCCAGCCAAATTATCCACAAGCTTGTGTCACCAAATGAATTACTTAACCCATAGTTTGAGTGATAGGTCCTAAAGCAATATGTTATACCGACTGTAACAAAATCCAACCACTCTTCTAAACTTATTTCTTGACTAATTTTGGTAGTTTGTAACAATTAAAAAAGCTAAGGAAAGTCCCCTTGATACTTTGAAGATGCAGTTAAGATAAAAACCCCAAAATACTTTAGGTGGTTCTTTTTAGTAACGAAATGGTGGATCCAAACTATAGTTAAGGAGAGGGAGAAAATAGTAGTATGCAACTAATAAACTCGATCAAAAAAATACCTACCTAAAAAGCACTCTATCAAAAACCATGTATAAAAGATAAGGGTGTCAATAGTGTTGTGTTACGTTATTTTTGTGTCGTGTACTTTCAATTATGTTATTTTTGATACATATTGTGTTCGTGTCAATAAAAAATTATTTAATTCTGCAATGTTTCATATATTACTATGCAACAAAAATTTTAAAAATTATAATATAACTATTTTCTATCTATATTACTCATTAATCGTGTTATTGTATTTAACTTTATTTTGACTCATTTATCATTTATGTAAATTAGTCGTGTTAGTTTTAGGTTGTGTTATGGTCAAGGTGGGGTCACTAAGTAAAATTGACACCCTTAATTGTTATAATACGTGACTCATATTCAGAATATGGAAGGTACATCGAGTTCCAGGATAATAAGCTAGTTGTCGGAGCGTAGCGAAATTTAAACATGCATTATGTTCAACATAATTGTATCACCATAAATTAATAACATTGTACAAATTTTATAAATTTGCCACATCTATCTCAAATAGAATGAAACAGTAATTTTTTGCATTCAGATCAAAATCATAAAATTGAAATTGCAGTCATTTAACTTGCACGAACACGAAATCATTCAACTTATCATAAATTAAAATCAATTAGGAGATCTTTTGAATGAAAATTTTATGAAATAAAATATAAATTAAAATTTAACACAAAAATTACAAAGGAACAAAGAGTTACTAAATGTCACAAAGAACAAAGAGTCAACATATAAAGACAAATAATTGTCTGAATATCACAAGGACAAATCTATCATTAAAAATGATAATAAAATCCTGTGTTTTTTGATTGAAAACGCTAACTAGTTATGATTCATTGATATTGCTGCCCATCCACGCAAACAAAAAAAAATAAAATCAAACAAAGAAACCATTCATAAAAAATTATTAAAATATACCATTCATAAACAATGATTACAATATTTTGTGGCTGGACTAAAGTCATTATTTGTATTATTCACTTTCTAATCACAAATTAGCGTGGACAATGTGTGCATGTGACCAATTACGTGTGTGTGTGTGAAAGAGAGCGATTGAGGGAGGGTGGACAGTGTGTGTGTTGTGTTAGTGCGTTTGTGTTAGTGTGTGTGTTAGCTTGTGAATGCGTGAAATTTTGTGTGCTTGTGTGTTTGTGGTAGAGTTTAGGGGTTAGGGTTAGGAATATAGGGTTTAATTTATAGCTTTAAATTACACGAGTTTAGGGGTTTTGCATGAAATTACGTTGTTGCAAATATTCTGTCCCGAAAATCACTTGAGGCAGCCTTCATTACTACCGTAAAAAGTAATTAAAAAATTTAACTACTTATGATGGC